TCATTGTTGTTTGGCGGGTCCGGGCTGGGGATTCGAACCCGCCACCTTAGGTGTACGTGGCTGGCGCCTTAGCCGGTTGAGCTATAGGTGCCAAGCCCTGTCCCTACTCTTAAATGAAGAACCTAAGCACTAGGTAATTTATCTGATGTCACACAGATGCTGAGGGAGGGACTTGGTATCCTAGTGCTACTCCTAGTCACAAGCACTAGGGTTGGTACTTAGTAACTCCCCTGGGTCCTATCTCAGAGCTCTCCAGAGGCTGTGACATCCAACACTCTGAAAAATAACAAAAGTTACCGCTCTTTATGTGCCAGGCCATATCCTAAGTATTGTGTGTGGGTCTTCTCACATAGACACAAGCCTCCTTGTCTGTTAAGTGTTACAGTTATCCTTACTTTATAGTTGAGGAATGAAATGAAAAGACCCACAATTAGACAAGGAGGAAGGGATGGAATTGGGATGGGGACCAGGCTATCCCTTCCAGACACTGAGCTCCAGCTGCTATCCCATCCTATCCTCTCCAGAACCACATCCCTGTGTTGAGCCCAGCACTTACAGATGGCTCATTGGGCGACATGATCTTCTTCCATTCTTACAAGAACCCGGGCCTGGTTCTGGACATCGTTGAGGGTGAGGTGCTAGGGCCACAGAGGAGTGGGGATGGAGGGCAGGCTGAGCCCAAGGCCTGACCACAGCCCTCTTCCCCTAGACCTGAGGCTCATCAACACCCAGGCCATCTTCGCCAAGCACTCTGGGATGATCATTCTGGGTGGGGGCATGGTCAAGCACCACATCGCCAATGCCAACCTCATGGTGAGTAGGGTTGCACATGTGTGCAGCCTGTGGCTCACACTGGGGAAGATAGCCAGCAGACAAGTGATATCCATGTCAGGTGGCAGTAATTGCTGTGGAGAAAAGCCTGGATGACCAATAAGGAGAAGGGGTGCTGTCTAATAAAGGGTATTCAGGGAGGCTTCTGAGAAATATGACCTGTGAACAGGTTTTTGGAAGGTGCCTCCTATCAGCCATGATAACTATCCCTGGGAAGAGAGTTCCCAGCAAAGGGAACAGCCAGTGCAAAAACCCTGAGGTGCCTGAAGTAGTCAAGGAATGGGACATCTGGAATGGTGGGGCGTAAGGAGGTGACACAGCAAAGCCTTGCCCAGTTTTGTAGGCTGCACGGTAGGCTTTGGCTTTTGTTCTGAGGGAAGTGGGACAGGACCTGCCCCAAGGGAGAGGTAGTTGAGTTTGGAGGTCATCTGAAGATAAGAGTTGGTGGTGGCTCCTGCTGTGCAGATGGGGGAGGGTTGTTGAGTCCTAGCAGGTGGGGCCAGGGAAGTCTGCTCAGCAGCCTCTATAACCCCAGGCACTGACTTGGGGGCACTCCCTGGAGTAAGGGGCTGCCAGGGGCTTTCCACATCTGGGACACTTCTTAGCCTCTTTGGCTATGGTTTCCTGCCTCTCTTTGCCTGTGACCTTCTGTCCCTTTGCCTGTGACCAGCTGACCAGGTCCACCCTGCCCCTCCTCACAGCGGAATGGAGCTGACTATGCTGTCTACATCAACACAGCCCAGGAGTTTGATGGCTCTGACTCGGGTGCCCAGCCAGATGAGGCAGTGTCTTGGGGCAAGATCCGGATGGATGCACAGCCTGTCAAGGTAAGGATCAGCTAGGTAGGAGCAGGATCTTCTGTGCTGTGGTCATGGTTTCCATGGCTTATCCGGGTCCCCTCTACAGGTCTATGCCGATGCTTCCTTGGTATTCCCACTACTTGTGGCTGAAACTTTTGCTCAGAAGGTAGATGCCTTCGCGCCTGAGAAGAATGAGGACTGAGAAGCTGTGGCCTCAGGGAGGCCTTATCCCCTCCTGTATTTATTAGTTTGCAGCCCAAACTCCCATGCTCCCCCCTTGGTCAGTGGTAACTCTAGAATAAATGTCATGGTACTTCTGGGTCCGTGCCTTGCTTGTGGGTCCTTGCTGGTGGGTCCTCTGCCTCGTAAGCCTCCACCCGCCAGTAATGGATGCTGCCCCCCATAGCAGTCAGCAGGCAGGGCTCCGTGGGGTGGTAGGCCAGTGACTGCACCACACCATGACCCACAGGCAGAGCCAGCACCATGGTACCCTGCAGAGCAAGGGATGAAGAGTAGTCAATTAGTGGCTGGGCTGTCCCTTAGGCCACCTTTCCCTGGACCTTCAGCTACCTGCCTCTAATTATCTCCTGGACACTGCAAACCTCATCTGTTCCGATTCGAGCCCCTTAAGAGCTCCATCCCTCCATGTGCTAAGACCAATCATCTTTGAAGTCTTTGAAGTCTTTCTCTCACAACTCATATTGCTTTATCAAGTAAATCCTCTTGGTTCTGCCTGGAGATGATCTCCAGAGACTGCCAATTCCCAGCTTTGTCCACCACTACCCTGTTCCCAGCTTCTCTGCTCCCTGATATTGGCTGGGCTCCACCCTTAGCACCCCCCACCCAGTCATTCATAGCACAATGTATACCATTCCCCTCGAGCAAACCATGGTTCCTCTTTCTACTCCCTCCAGGGAAACTTCCAAGTCTATGAGGCCTGCACTAAGTAGGAAGAACATTCTCGCTATCTTAGTTCCTTGATGTCTCCAGAACCTGTCAGTTCCCTCTATCCTCTTAGGGGGCTTAAGTTCCCCAGGCCAATCCCCAGAGCCAAGGTTTCCTTCCCTGAGGCTTCCCAACCCTGACCCCATTAAACCAGGATGTCCTGTTCCCAGCCTGACTCCCCTGCTGGGCAGGCACACATTGAGGATATAAGGGTGTAGAGCTTGAAACCATGCACAGGGATGCTCAGATGCAGCTCAGGTTTCCTGAATAACCTCATGTCATCCAAAGTCAGATGCCATGGGCGGCACCTGTGGCTCAAAAGGGTAGGGCGCCAGCCCCATATGCCGGAGGTGGCTGATTCAAGCCCAGCCTCGGCCAAAAAAACCCCCAAAACAAACAAACCCAACAAAGTCAGATGCCACTGTCATCTATGCCTTGACCTACAGTCAGTGTCAGTGGCTCAGACTGGCATCTACAGCTCCTTTTTTTTTTTTTTTGGCAAGGGCTGGGTTTGAACCTACCACCTCTGGCATATGGGGCCGGTGCCCTACTCTTTTGAACCACAGGTGCTGCCTGCATCCACAGATCTTGCCTGGCCTGGATCCTGCTGCTGTTACCAGCCTGAATGTTTGCACACCACACCTCTATACCTTAGCATGTGCTGTTCTCCTTGCCTGGAATGCCCTTCCTGCCTTGTCTTCTCCTCCAAGATCCCAGCTCAAATACCTAGTATCAGTCAGTCTCCTTTTCAGGCCCCCCAGTGACTGAGATAAAGCCAAGGCTGAGATGGGATAGGTGCCCAGGTATATAAGGGGGCTGAGGCCAACTCACCTCCACCAGGTCCCAGAAGAATACCTTCCCATCCTCAGAGCAGCTGACCACGTGTGTGTCACGCTCACTCAGGCAGCAATCCAGCTTGTACTCCTGGTTTTTATGGCCTGTGTACCTGGAGGTAGGTGGGATCAGGGGGCTTGGTCCTCAGGATAGGATGTGGGGGAGGGTGAAGGGAGGGGGAGATCATGTCTTTGAGGTCTCACTCGCCTAGCAGCTCCCCTGTGTCTTTGTCTAGAAGCCGCAATATGGAGTCCAGGCTAGACACTAGGGTGCACTGCCCATCCCGGCTGAAGCAGGTGCAGGTGATGGGACCTGAGGAGAAGGGACAAGTAGGCAGGTGGGTCAGGCTGGGGTGTCCCTGGCAGCACCCCCATCTTCCCTGCCTGGCCCACAGTCCCAGCCACACTCACTTCCAACATAGTCTGAGAAGAGCTGCCCCATCCTCAGGTCATAGCGCCTCACTCGGCCATCTACAGAGCTGTAGGACAGGAGAGGGTAGATTGAGTTGATTTTTTTTTTTTTTT